GTCCTCGGTAAGAAGAAAGGTATCACTAGCGCAATACTCTCAGATGATTTTGTCAGTGGCATTGATAGCTTTAAAGAGAGGCTCACGTGGGTACCGCCTGGCTATACAGCTTTGGAAGAGTCTCACAAAGTCACTGACAAAAGTGTTGCTGATACGGTAGAAGCACTGATAGGAGCCCATACAGTGGCCGGAGGCTTAGAGGGAGGAATAACACTTATGAAGTGGTTTGGGATTAAAATCAATGATGGCTCTTCTACTATTGCACCTCCTAAATCTACCTCCAGCAATACACATTCACTACTCCTTGCTGAGTCGGATTCCATATTTTCTAGTCATTTTCGTTCTCCGCCTGCCCCTAAGCTTGCCTCTAAGCTTGCTCCTTTAGATAAAGCCATATCTACGAGAAATCGCATCCTCCCCCAAGTGAGCAGCATACAAGGAAAGATCGAATACTCGTTTAAAAATGAGCTCCTCCTCATAGAAGCAATGACACATTCGTCCTATCACAGGAATGACATCACTGGTTGTTATCAGAGATTGGAGTTTTTAGGCGATGCCATTTTAGACTATCTGGTGACATGTCACATATACCAGTCAGACTCGTCTGCCGAGCCAGGAAGAATGACAGAGCTGAGATCAGCACTCGTTTGTAATTCTCGTTTTGCCGAGCTCGCCATTTCTCTTAACCTTCACAGGTCCTTGTGTCATGGCTCTCCGAATCTCTTCAACGATATGAAGAAATATGCTCAATCACTGAAACAAAGAGAAAAGGAAGACAGGGAAAGAAAGTTGGAAGAAATGTCAATCAATGATGATGACTCAGCTCAGGTAGAAAGAAGGAAAGGGAAAGACTGTTAAAATGATAATGCATTCATACTCTTATAACATTAACATGTACATGTACATTAACATGTACATATACATGTACATATACATCTTTATAATTATTTTTAGGTTATAGTTGAGAGCATGGAAGATGGTGATATTGATGATGATGAAGATGAAGATGATGATATAATCGAGCCACCTAAATCACTCAGTGATTGTTTTGAGGCATTAGCCGGTGCTGTGTTCATTGATAGTGGAATGAACCTACAAACTGTATGGGAAACCTTTTCCCCATTTCTGGAGCCATTGTTTGGTAGGAGAGACATGTATAACGCCTTCATTTTAGTACTATTGTATGAAATGATGTTTGTTTGTTGGTGCAGTATATAATAAAGTATTATTATCATTATTTTTGTTTTCAGAAAAGTTCAAGAATGATCCACCATTGACTCCAATCTGTGAGTTGCATAAACTGATCCCAAAGGATTTGGAAGTCAAGAAAAAAGTGTAAGTCTTTTTGGCTATAGTACATGTTCATGTGTACTTTATTAGCAGATTAGCACTACCTTATAGCTTAGTAGCATGTGTAAAATTCAAACAAGCTATTTATTCAGCAATTGGATAGCAGTTTAGGAAAGATAGTATCTTTATATTTCTTTATTATTATTTAGGTTATCAGAGGGTAAATCACAGTGTATTATTGAAATTAAAGATAAGAATATTTGTGAAGTGGCTACTGCTCGCTCGTACAAGAATGCGAAGAACTTTGCAGCTTCTAGAGTTTTAAAAAAATTAGCT